CTCTTATACACATCTAGATGTGTATAAGAGACAGCTCCACTCCCGACCCCAACCAGGACCTCCTTCCCCCGACTTCCTCCCTGCCACACACAACCCGCGCGCAATCCCCCGAGTCCGCTTCCCCCCCCCCATTATCATCATCATCATCACCACCATTCATCATCATCATCATCATCATCATCAATCTCCCCATGCAAACCTTTTCTTTACCCTACCACCACGCTACCACCCAATCAATCATAGTTCCTCATTTACCCCTTTATAATTCCTTTTTATTATTCATTTGCAATTCTTGTAAATTTGCAAATACTTAATTAATTATCTTTTTCAACATTTCCTTTCCGAAAATATTTTCTTTTTCAAAACTTTCAAAAATACGTAGAATTAGTTATTCTTTATCGGCATGTCTTCATCGAAATTAAAAAATATTTTAATGAATTCTTTTTCAAAATTTTTCATTCGAAAATACTTCAGAATTAATTAAATTATTTTTTGACATTTCTTTTTCGTAATTCGAAATACGTCTAGGCTACCAGAGTGGCCCGGGTTCACTTGCCCGACCGGGCAAAAAAATATTAAAACAATAAAAGTAATAAGAACATTTTTTCAATTTACTTTCTGTTTGAAATTCGGTAAAGAATTTTGATGTGACCCTCAGGCAAAAGTTGTTCAGTTTATTTTTCTGCATAACATAGTTTTTTTTCGGATTTTTTGGATTCCTTTTTTTTTTTTTTTTTATGCTGTGACCGTCCTTGGTCCTTGCACGGGCTGGCCACCCGGGACCTGGGCGGCCCGGCTGGTAGCCTAGAAATACGTAGAATCAATTAATTCTTTTTCGACATTCCCTTGTGCAAGGAATATGAGTGTGAGCGAGATACAGAAAACCAAGTTGCGAAATCACACAGCTGTCCAAGTAGTCGTGTCCCAAGCAGAGTACAATGCACAGAGAAACCATCCATTTAGAGCAATACAATTCAGTAATGAGCCAATGTTCAAGCCCGTAGGCCACACCAACACAGTGTCCAAAGTCGCTCCGCTCTGTCTGGCGCCCAGCGACTCTACCTACAGCTGGATCACGCAACAGGATCACTTCAACTCTCGAAGACCAATGTACATGACTGTCAACACCATAGCCGACCTCTCTTCATGTGCCAGGTACGTATCTCGTCACCCTCAATCAGACCTTGATAACCCCACTCTGCGCCTTCTTCCCTGAAGACAACCAGATTCCCCCACTGTACCCCCTGGCGCCCAGCAGCCCGGCTATGGCTGCCTGCGCCCCGCTGCCCTGCAGCGCCCCACTTCACCTCTATGCGCCCCGTCAGCGCCCTTGGCAGCAGCGCAGCATCAAACGAGAGCGCAGCAGCACTTCCGCATTGCCAGCACTGGCCAGAATGCCTGGCCTGCCCTTGGCAGCAGCGCAGCATCAAACGAGAGCGCAGCAGCACTTCCGCATTGCCAGCACTGGCCAGAATGCCTGGCCTGGGCTGCCTCACTTCCTTTATCGAAGTGGCAGCCTCCTGGATGCTGCGTGTGGCCTGGCTGGAAGCTTCCAGTAGCTTCCGGTTGGGCC